AATGTGTTGGTTAGTTGCTACAGATAACAGAATAATGCATACACCCAATGTTGTTAGGTTGACTGAACTAATTTTTTTGCTCCGTTACATTTTCTTTGCCCATCTCTGCTGTGAGCTGGTGGGATTGTCTTATGTGCAGAGATTGAGGAAGATAGGTCTGTATTTTCTCAAATTTCTAAGAATGAGAGGTGATCTCCTTGAAACATACAAAATTCTTAAAGGGTGGCTGTAGAAAGAATGTTTTCCCCTAACTACTGAGTTTAGAACCAGGGAGATAATCTCAAAATTAGTTGGGGGTAGGCCATCTAAGACTGAGATGAGAAGGATATTTTTCACTGTGTGAATCTTAGTGGAATTCTCTATCCCAGAGAACAACGGAAGGTCAATTGTTGAGTTTGTTCAAAACAGGCATCGATTGATGTGTGGCAACTAATGACATGGAAAAATATGGATGTGCAGAAGAAAGGAAAGCAATATTAGGGTAAATGATTGGCTATGATCTAACTGAATGGTGAAGTCTACTAAACGGACTGAATGGCTTACTCCTGTTCCGAGTCTCCTAAATTAGATTAAGGATATTTCACATAGTTTAGAGGTAGGTTAGGACTCCAGCCTACGGGATTAAGTGGAAATGCTACATTTACATTACCGTATGCACCACACTAAGCCGCCTGAATAGCTGATCAATACTTGCACAGAAATACTAAGAGTAGTGGATAGTCCACTGCCTCTGAAAAATTTGCTTGTCTTTGGTTGTTGACTCTGTCAGTCGTGTTTTTTTAATTGGAGAAGAAACTTACACCTGTCTTAAAAGGAATACCTTAAAGGTTGTAAAGAGATCTAACTTCTCTATATTCTTTAAACATGTTGCAGATTCCAGATATTTTTAAAACTGATAGTTATTTCATGCATGCCAATGAACAATGGGTGAAATAAAAGCATTGCAAATCTTTTTCAACTTGTTCACTAAACTCCTTTTATTCCTTTAGGTGTTTTCCTCAGCAGATCCACCACCTAAAACTTCTACACCTGAAGAATTTATCCGGATGACCAAAGGAATTACCATTGCAACAGCTAAAGCTGTGGCCGCAGGAAACTCCTGTCGTCAAGAGGATGTTATTGCCACTGCCAATCTTAGCCGCAAAGCTATTGCAGAGATGCTTCATTCTTGTAAGGTATCTAATAAGCCAAGCATCAGCTGCGAACTACTCGTTCATCTTACGTGACAAATAACTGGATAAAGGATGCAGCTTTAATCCTTAAACAGGGCTTGCTTTTCAGTAAAGTATTCTTGCTATTTATAAAGGAAAGATTGGTGTGAAAATATCTTAGGTTTTTTTAAGTAGATTCTTTGCAAACAGTGGGAGAAGATATCAGGTTAAGGTGACCTGACAGCCCTTGGGAGCTGTCCAATTTCTATAAAAACATATTGTAGATTAGAATGTAGATTTCTTGACCTTCACTAGAGTTTCCTCGAATTGGTTGTCTTTCAGTTTGTCCGAAATAAAGATCCTGGCTATTTTGTGATGAAGTCCAAGGTACATGCTCATAATTATCACTGGAGCAGAAGGCTAGGAAACTACTCAAGGTTTTGCACATCATGCAAAAGACTCTAAGCACTACTGACCAAACATACTTTTTGTAGGCAACCTGTACTTTAAACTACAGGATGGAAATTACCTGTTTCACTTGCAACACAACCAGAAAACCCACATTGTGGGCATACTTAACCCTGTCCCTTAAGTAGTTATTCAATTTTCCCAAACAGGACCCAAAATGATTCTGTTCCTTTCCTTTCTCAGCCTGGTAACTTCTAATTTCAGATTTGTAATTCATTGTGGGGAGATTTCTTGGTGATTCTCCCTCTAACACAAGCTAGACAAATCTTTCAGTGTCGTTTCAACTCCTCACAGATTTGGTATTCTCAATCTAAGTGCTACCAGCATTCCCTTGCAATGAAGCTTAGAAAGTTTAGGCCTCGCTTTGTTGCTTCTGTCTCTTGGATCCCGGCAGGCTCTTTGTCTAAGAGTTTGAGACATCCAGTAAAGGGAAAACCTCCTCTTAGAGTCCATCTCTGTGGCAATGCGAATCACATTAACATTATACCCAAGTAGAAATTTGATTCACTATCCTTTAGAACCCGACTCTCTTTTATCTTGGAATTAAATGGACGGTTTAAAGCATAACTGCGTAACTGCTTAGAATTCAACATTCTCAATGCTTTTCTGGGACTTACAGTCTAGCCATTGTTAAAAGACTGCTGCCATTGTGTCCAAGTGTAAATATATCTACCTCCTTCCTGGAAAAACAATCTTGACTGCTTTAATCACCAACAATTAAACCACCCAGCCTTGCTGTCAGAACAGATGACCTGATTCTTTTCATTCTACCTTAAATTAACACAGTGCCAACATACAACCATTTTAACCTTAGAATTGTAACAGTAGACAAAACAATATATCACCTTTATTGGTTTTCCCCAATACAGATGGGTTTGTGTTGGGTTATTGTTAAGCAGCATTGAAATTGGTGATGAAAATATTTTAGTTCTGCAATTTGATCAGTTAGAGGAAGGATTGAGATGACGAAATTGACACCCATCACTTACCTAGAATCAAGTAGGTGAAAAATCCAAGATGGAAGTAAAATAAAGGTAATTGCTCTTTCATAAATGCATGAGATTCTTTATTTTCAAAACTCTTATGTTAAGAATTATTTCTAAGCAACTTTTGTTTTAATTTTTCTACCAACTTGATTGAGTATGAAACCAATTGTTTTTTCAGCCTGGTAACATTTTGTCCTGTTCTTATCTTTTACCTGCAACCATTAAACTTGAAGGTGTTGCTTCTCATCAACGTAAATGCAATTCAGTGTTTCTTTATTTTCATTTATTCCTGACGTGAGCATGAGCATTTGCTATCCATCCCTAATTGCCTTTGAGAAGATGATCGTGAACCACCACCTTGAACCTTGGGGTTTAGGTACACCCACAATGCCCTTAGAGAAGGAGTTCCATGATTGTGACACAGTGACACTGAAAGAACAGTGATATAGTTCTAAGTTGGGACGGTGAGTGGCTTGGAGAGGAACTTGAGGGTGGTGGTGTTCCCATGTATGTGCTGCCTTTGTCCTTTTAGATAGTAAAGGTTTTGCAGGTGCTATAGCAGGTGCCAATCGCATTATGTACCCTATCATCTTTTAATAATTGGGAATGAATTTAAAACCAACCAGTCAAACAGAATGGATGCAAATGTTTCTAATCTACTTTGGGTCATAGAGTCATACAGCATGAAAACAGACCCTTTAGTCCAACGCATCCATGCTGACCAAGTTTCCCAAACTAACCTAGGCCCATTTGCCATAATACTGATTTTTTTTTTCATGTCAGAGTAAAATAAATTTTGTGGGCAGTGGTGCTTGCGAAAACTGAAAATGAGGAGCCCATGAAAGGCTTCTGTCAGAACAAAGCCAGGTAATTAATAACCCTTATTATTTCATTTTTTTACAGCAAGCAGCCTATCACCCAGAAGTGTCCAGTGATGTTCAGACCAGAGCTCTTCGTTTTGGCAAAGAATGTTCTGAAGGGTACCTGGCTCTATTGGAACATGTTCTTGTTGTAAGTAATCATTAAATGTATATTCTGTTATAAATGTCTAACTTGCAATTAAATGAGTGACCAAACCTTTTTATTCATCAGATTGTTCTATTCTGTTTGTGAAAGTATCAAAAATTCAAGGTATAATTTTTTTTTCTTGAAGGCTTTTTCATAGAATTGTACAACATTAAAGGATGCTATTCAGTGTCTGGTGTCAGCTCTTTGAAAGAGCTGTTCAGTTAATTGCATTCTGCATTTGTATAGTAATTATTTCTTTTGCAAATATTTCTGATTCCTTTCTTAAAATTACTACTACTCCTAGCACTCTGAGGCAATGCATTTCAGATTATAAGAAGTCCCTGTGTACAAGTAAGTCTCTTCATCCTTCTGATTCTTTTGCTGATTTCCTTAAATTTGCATCCTCTGGTTTAGATGATGTTATCACTAGAATACTTTCTTTTTGTTTGCTCTATAGAAACCGCTCCATAGTTTTCAGCAACTCTGAAATCTCCCCTTAACTATCTGAGAAGAATCATTCCTATTTCTGTCTAAAATTGAAGTTTGTCATCCCTGGTGTAATTCTGAAAATTTCCTGCAGCTTTTCCGCAGCCTTGACTTTAATATCTGTTTGATTTGTTTTCTTCTCCCTTCCTTATTCCTCCACTTGTCCCCTCCACCTCAGTTGAAGGTAATGATCGTTTGGATTCTGAGATAGTAGGAACTGCCGATGCTGGAGAATCTGAGATAACAAAGTGTAGAGCTAGATGAACACAGTAAATATCATTTGGATTGGTGGTTATTGGTCACTCTGCTGGATTCAACTGCCCATCCCTAAGTGTAGACAGTGGTTACTAACTGGTAATTTGACTGTATGTTAATCACAGCTGAGCTCAATCTGGTCTTCAGCAACTTTCAACATTTGCTGGGAAACAGCAGGAGTGGGACTCTGTCTAATTTTGGCTGTGCCCCAACCCAGTGGAGTCGAGACAAAAACAGAAATTGCTGGAAAAGCTCAGCAGGTCTGGCAGCATCTGTGAACAGAAACCAGAGTTAACGTTTCGGGTCTGGTGACCCTTCCACAGAACTGATTGTAGCTAGGAAAATGCCGGTTTATATGCAGAAGATAGGGTGGGGGTGGGGATAAGGAGTAAAGGATAGGTGGGGATAGAGCCCAAATAGAGAGAAGACAGTTGCTCAGACGAAAGAGTTGGATAACGTTCTGGCTGGGAAAGTAAATAGCTGTTAATAGAGACTGTTAGTGGCTAACAACAGGTAGTGTGCAATGGCAGACTATGCGATAACAAGGCCCGGTGTGTGGGGTTGGGGGCTAGAACATAGGAGAGTTTAGGTGCTAAAACTATTGACCTCTATATTGAGTCTAGAGGACTACAGGGTCCCCAAATGGAAAATGAGGTGTTGTTCTTATAGCTTGTGTTGAGTTTCACTGGAACACTGCAGCAAGACAGAGACGGATGTTGACCAGGGAACAGGGTGATGTGTTAAAGTGGCCGGCAACTGGAAGCTCAGGGTCTTTTTTTTTTGCAGGCAGAACGTAGATGTTCTGGGAAGTGGTCACCCAGTCTACATTTTGTCTCCCCAATATAGTAGAGAACACATTGTGAGCAGCAAATGCAGTAGACTTGATAGTGGGAAGTGCAGGTAAAGTGCTGCTTCACCTGGAAGCTATGTTTGGGTGCTTGGATACTGAGGAGGGAGGAGGTAAATGGGCAGCTGTTACAGCTTCAGTGGTCACAGGGAAGGTGCCCTGGAGCTCTGGGGGTAGTGTTGGGAGTGAACGAAGAGTGGACCAGGGTGTCCCGGAGGGAGCAGTCCCTACAGAAGGCAGACAAGCGAGGGGAGGGGAGTGTGGGTCTAGTGGTGGCCTCTTGCTGAGCGTGGTGGAAATGGCAACTGATGATCTTCTGGATGTGAATGCTGGTAGGATGATAGATAAGGACAAGGGGAACCCTATCGCAGTTGTGGGAGGAAGGAGAAGGGGTGAGGGCAGAAGTGTGGAAGTTGGGTTGGACCCGGCTGAAGGCCCTGTAAACGACGGAGCTGGGGAATCCTCGGTTGAAGAAGAAAGTGGACATTTCGGAGGCTTCCCTGTCAAAGTTGGCCTCATTAGAACATGTGTGGCGGAGACGGAGGAACTGGGAGAATGGAATGGAGTCTTTACAGGAAGCAGGGTGTGAGGAGTTGAGGCCACTCATTCCCCCGGCTCTGTTCATTGTAATTTTGAACATGTTTTTGAAATGAAACCTGAAATCTCCTGATTTGTCTGTTTAGAAGAGTTCTCTTCTGACATTTTGTTGCTTTGTCCTATTTTGTTTTTGTTGAATTACTTCTGTCTCTTTTCCTCCTGCATTTCATACTTATTCCTTCACTTTATTTCAAAGCCGGTGAGTACCCTACGTCATTGCACCAGTAAATAGCCTGGCTGAGTTTGAATGTTATGCATGGGTTTGTCCAAATATAGAGAACTTAAATAATATGGAATGAATCCTTCTTACAGACAGTTCATCACAGCAGCTGTAGCTCTATGAAACAGCAGACTTCCAGTGTTGCCAAATATGTGCAGATTCATGGTTGCTATAACCACGCTCTATTGGTGTTATAAAAGTTCTAACCTGGGCCCTACTTACCACTTTGAAAACTAATGATCTCACACAGCATGATGCCTTGATGAAACAGGCTACATAATGGTGGCAGACCCGATATGAGCTACACTGAGGACAGGGAGTTCAATGACAAAATAGTTGAACAGAAAAGAACAAATGATTATTGCCAGTTCGTTCATTTGCAATAACATTTTGCTCTAGGGAATATTTGATTTGTTTACCTTCCTACTAAACATATTTTCAGATGTACAACAGGTGCATGTGGTACTTGCTATAGCCATGACTGAGTTTTTGTAGAAGTGAGAGAATGCTGTCATTAGCCAATTTAAGGTTTTGATTCTGGAATTCATAGTTTCATAGAATTCCTACAGTGTGGAAACAGGCCCTTTGGCCCAACAAGTTCACACTGACCCTCAAAGCATCCCACCCAGACCCATCCCCCTGTAACCCACCTAATCTAAACATCCCTGAACACTATGGGCAATTTATCATGGCCAATCCGCCCAGCCTGCACATCTTTGGACTGTGGGAGGAAACTGGAGCACCCAGAGGAAAACCACGTAGACACGGGGAGAATGTGCAAACTCCATAGACAGTTGTCTGAGGGTGGAATCGAACCCGGGTCACTGGCGCTGTGAGGCAGCGGTGCTAGCCACTGTGCTGCCCAAATGAGAACTTATTTCGAAGAAGCAGCTAATATGACGTGAGCATATAATTTAACTCCCATGAATTAGCTCTTTGTGTCCGTAGAGAAATGATTGCTCTCCTTTCTCCCCCCTACACGTTTGCTTGTATTTATAAGCACATCCATTTGTGTTTTTCTTTGGACTGACATAAGCTGCATTGGTTTATGGAGGGGCTGAGATATTTTGCAGCATGTTTGTGTTCTGATCTCTAGCCAATTGCATGTTCTGTATGTGCAATATGTTGCAGTTTCTACCATATACCCAGTCTGAGAGACTTATTGTTATTTTCTAAGAATAGGAATAGACCACTTAGCCCCTCAAGCCTTGTTCCTCCACTCGGTTACATTGAGCTGATCTGCAACCCTACTTTTGTGGCTTCTATTTAACAAAGACAATAATTGGGAAATATGGATCATAATCTTGTGAAATTGAAATTGTAGAATTATTGGGCGACTTCCATCATTCACTGAGTTCTTTACTTCAACTGGCTACTTAAGAAAAGTACTGCAGGAAGGAACATTTTTTTTAATGCAACTAGTGTCAGTTAGTTGCCATGCGGAAGAGAACATTTGCAGTTAGGGAGAAAGCTATCCCATTACCTTAGGGGTCCGTTGCAATGGTGATCAAGAGAACGGTTAAACGTGAAATTACGAGTAGCACTTGCTGTCTACATTCAGCAAGATGATATTTACCATTGTTTGTTGGTGATCCCTAGGGCTGACTTACCTGAGTTCAGCCCAAGGAGGCACTTACTGCCTTGGCAAACCATTAGATCAATAGATAATCTTCAGGCACGGTTGAAGAATATGACATGTTTGTTCTTTTACAATGAGGCAGGTGGTGTAATTCTGTCTGGAAATCTGTGCAATCCCGGTCTTCCATCTTAACCCCTCAGGTATCTGCACAGACCCTTAAAGACCAAATGGGTGCTCTGCCGAGCAATTTCTAGGTGATTGTACAGCCATCATGATCCTTCCTCTCAAACTTGTGTAGTCTTTCTTCAGCTCCACTTGATATATTTGAAAGTACTTAAAACAGTAAAGTTGCTAATTTGGTGTTGTCAGCCTGTCAAAAGTTGAAAAGGGAAAGGAGATTTGTGATAACGACCAGATGAAATTAGAAGCTAATGTCTAGAGTAAACATGAGTGACAGTGTGTGATATATATTGTTTAGCTTATTATATAAATTCACAAAAATAGGGCAGAATTAGGCCATTCAGCCCATCAAGTCTGCTCTTCCATTCAATCATGGCTGATATGCTCCTCACCCCCATTTTCCTGCCTTCTCCCCGTAACCCTTCAACCGATTACCAATTTAAAAATCTGTCTAATTCCTCCTTAAATTTACTCACTGTCCCAGCATTCACCGCACTTTGGGATAGCAAACTCCAAAGATTCACCACCCTTTGGGAGTAGTTTCTCCTCAATGCTGTTCTAGATTTGCTACCCCTTATCCTAAGTCTATGACCTCTTATCTTAGAATGCCCCACAGATGGGAGCATCTGCTCCACGTCTTTTATCATCTCGAATACTTCAATTTGATCTCCCCTCGTTTTTCTAAATTTCAGAGAGTATAAGCCTAAACTGTTCAATCTCTCGCCATGTGATAAGCCCCTCATCTCTGGGTTCAATCTGGTGAACCTCCTCTGAACTGTCTCCGGTGCCACCATATCCTTCCACAAATGAGAGGACCAAAACTGTGCACAAAACTCCAGGTGCAGTCTCACCAATGCTTTGTATAGTTGCAACAATACTTCCTTACTCTTATACTCTATTCCTTTAACTGTAAAAGCCAACATTCCATTTGCTTTTTTTAATTTTCTGCTGTACCTGCAGATTAGTCTTCTGTGACTCATGAACAAGGATACTCAGATCCCTCTGCACTGCATGCCCCGAAGTCCCTCCCATTTAGATAATAGGTCACCTTCCCATTTTTCCGACCAAAATGCATGACCTCACATTTATCCACATTAAACGCCATCTGCCACATTTTGGCCCACTCTCCTAACCTATCTATATCCATTTGTAAAGTTCTTATTTTCTCATTGCTATTTACTGTCCTGCCTATTTTTCTCACCCACAAATTTGGCTATAGAGCCTTCTATCCCTATATCCAAGTCATTAATGTAGATTGTAAATAGCTGAGCATCCAAGGACTGACCCCTATGGCACCTCACTTGTTACTACTTTGTCATCCAGAAAAAAAAACATTTATCCAACTTTGTCTTCTGTCCATCAGCCAGTCACCTATCCAAACTAATAAATTACCCCTAATCCCATATGATCCAACCTTTTGTGTGGCACCTTATCAAACACCTTCCGGAAGTCCAGATATATTACATTTATAGAATCCCTGTTATTCACTTTGCTTGTTACATCTTCGAAGAACTCTAACAAATTGGTCAAACACAATTTGCCTTTCATAAAACCATGCTGGCTCTGATAGATAGCGTTTTGACTTTCCAAATGTCCTGATATTGCTTCCTTGATAATTGATTCTAACACTTTCCCAACAATAGATGTTGAGCTAACTTGACATTTATTTCTAAATTACTTTTCCTCTTTCATTCAGTATTTTTGGCCTCCTTTCTAGATTCTTCAAAAGCCATCGACAGATCTCAAACAGCAGCTGGCAACATATTCAAAACGTGTGGCTGGTTCTGTCACAGAGCTCATCCAGGCTGCAGAGGCCATGAAAGGTAAGGAAGTGTTTTGCCCTTAAGTTAAGTCTTGGAGTTCCAGGTCTCATTATTGACATGTATGAAGAAAAGCACCTTTTGCAGAAAAACAAAAATAGCCTCAAGTAAGGCCAGGGATCAAATCTAATATTGGGTCATGTTGGGTTCTAAAGTTCATACCCGAGTCTCCTAGAAGATAATTCTCATGAGTAACTGCCCAACTTTTTAGCTGTACTTACATTTCACTGTTAAGGACAGAAGGAACAACTTTCATGGCAGGTATGTTATTAAGCTTTTAAGCATGATGGGAAGGCAGACAGATAAATAGAGTTGAGGCTGTGATCTGATCAACCATGATCTTATTGAATGGTAGAGCAGGCTTGATGGACTGAATGGCCTATTCCAGTTCCGAATTCTTATGTTACATTGTGTAGTACTGCTCACTGAAGACCAAAAATATTCCATATTGAAACATTTTCATGTCAAATTAAGTTCATCTTAGCCAGTGTGCTGATGCCACTTGCCCCTCCGACCCCCCCCCCCCCCCCCCCACACAATTTCTGTCTCTGGGCCAGAAAATGTTTTGTGAGAAGAAAAAGGACAAGAGAAGAATTACCAGCCATTCCTGATCAATGTAACCAGTCTCCCAATTATCTCTGCCAAGTACCTGTTTGTTTCTGGTATTTCCCTGTTGGCAGAGCCAATTGGACAAGGGAAAGAAAATAAAATAATTTAATGAGCGAAGAGATCAAGGACGGTTGCAGGAAGAAGAATAAATACAAATAGAAATAAAAATTTCTGATATCAGAAAACTGAGGTGAAGAAAAGGGAGTAATTAGATAATTGATTAAACTTACTAGTATTGAACTGAATGCTAATAAAAGCAAAATACTGCAACTGCTGGCAATCATCTTCAAGTTGCAAAGAAGAGTCATCTTGAACTCTAGACGTTAACTCTTTCTCTTTCCACAAGTGCTGCTAGATCAGCACTTTTTTTTGTTTAAATGACTGGGAGGTTCAAATGAAATTAAGCTACTATAGAGTTTTTGTTTGAGTTGATTAGATAATCCTCTGTTCAGGAAATCTTTCATTGTTGCAGTTACATTTATATTTGAACAAGTAAATAAATAAAACAGTCTGTCATTAATTTGAACTCAATTTCGACTTGTACATCAGGCATTCATTTTGGCAAAGTGAAGGAATTGGGTTGGGTACACTTCAAAGTGACAAAATTAACATCATACAGTTGTGCAGTAGTTCAAAACATAGGAAGGAAATTTATACACCAGAAATTCTTTTGTGCTGAATTAATGTGATAAATTTTAAGGCTGATAGTTTGATAGCTTGTGAATAGCTTTCCAAGATATGTCTGCTTACAATTTGTAATGATGTCGTCATTTTAGAGATCTACATGTCTGACTGACTTTATATGGAATTTTTCAGTGAACCTATTGTAGCCACAAAATGCTGGAGGAAAATATGTGCTGAAGTAGATAATCTTAATGTGCTGCAGAGTTTGCTTTAGTTGTGGATTGTGGCAGTTCTGTACTGAGTTTTCTATGATTCATATTAACCACTTACAATCTAGCAATTATGTTCTACTTAGTTTTTCTAATCTTTTAAAGGCGATGAAAATGCCCTTTCATTGATGCTATAATCATTTGGGTTGATTATTAAATTATTACTTTCAATTGTTATATTTATTTTCAAATTAATAAATTGGGTGAACTTTCTCGGACAAAAACTGTCAAAAATAATAATGGCTTCTATTTTATGCTCCAGATTTTTGCAAATGGTAAAAATAAAAGCCTTGAGTCATGTGTATATATAGGTTAACTTGAGCACTTGCTGCACTTTATGATGTGATCCGTGCTCGGTAACAGGTTGGGAAGCAAAGAGTGCAGACCAGGATAATTATCCTCTTAAACCAATGTGCATTGTCAAAAATGGTCACCTTTTTTCCCCAGGAGCGTAACTGGATAGAAGTTGAGTTATGATCTTGACTTTCATTTCTGGCTAACAGACCTTCACTAATGTCTAGTAATGCAGATCACCCTTGTTTCTGGGACCGTAGTTCCATGCTACTTTGAATGCTGCTGCCAAAGCTGGTCAATGTCAGGTAGTATTACGAAGTATGGCAGGTATTATCTTAAATGGCCATTGTATTTTCTTGGAGAACTGTTATTCAGGCCAGTCAGACTATGCACATAAGTATAAAGGAGACTATTGAGCATGGCAAACATTACAAGAAAATGGTTCAAGAAAATGCTCTCGGTTGATCATTTTTTCCCTCACATTCTTTAGGCACAGAATGGGTGAATCCTGAAGATCCAACAGTTATTGCTGAGAATGAGTTGCTGAGAGCTGCTGCAGCTATTGAGGCAGCTGCCAAGAAACTTGAACAGCTGAAACCAAGAGCTAAACCCAAGGTGAAAAAAAACCCAACAGAATGACACAAAAAATGTATTATATTTTTCTCCTGGGCTTATTGATCTAGTCAGCGATTTACTGCTACATGGAATAGTATGTTATTTCAGTAAAGAGATTTTCCTAGTAATTTTGTTTCAAAGTCACTATGTTGGGTCTTCCTGCTGATCTTAATGAATTTATTCAATGAGAAGTTGAGCTGTATAAATGGAGTTTGATTCACAATCTTTTGAGTTAGTGGACTTCAGCTGAGGTTGTACCAAGCCTGCTGGAGTTGACCTTGACATAGTGATCTTTATCCAGTGAGAGAACTGCAAGTAGGTGCACAGCTGTTAGGGGAGTACTGGACTGGACCTAACTCTGATGTTCCCTATAGCCAGATAACCTTTTATATTTGCTATTGATACTTGCACATTTGCAGTGGACCTGAGGATCTTTATAACCAAGAATTCAAAAACTTCTGAAGAGATAGGAATGTACTGACAATGCAGCAGATCAACTGCTCAGCAATCGAAATTGATCTCATTCAAACTATTCAAGCCTGTAATTCTCATGACCTTGATATTACAGAAGCTTTTTAGCTTAATTTATATGAATTCTGATGTACAGTTCTGACTTTAGAGTAACTCCAGATACAATTTCTGCATAGTAGATTATTTTAACAACAAATATGTATATAGTATAATCAATATTGTGTGACCAAAACCTTCATTATGCAAATACTGTTACAAGAGACTGTCTGATATGTTTGCTATATTAGGTTGTTAACTAAAACTCAACTATATATCAAACATATTTGTACAGTTTCTTGACTTTACAGCATTTTAAGTGTTTCTTAATTTGTTTATTAGAGAACCTACATAATTTATTTTTCATTTAATATTTTCTACTCCGCTCTGTATCGAACAAGTTTGTAGTATACAGTAGAATGCAATCTACTCATGACTTTAGATTACATATTGGCATTAATGTAGTAAATTCCGCAGCTACCCTTGAATTCATAGTCAGTCTGTTTGTTTGAGTTTTGATGTATGCCAATTTACTGCCAATTAGTATAGTAGCTTTTCAATATTTTCCGTTCACATTTAATCTTGTAACTTTTTTTTTTGTCCAACAGCAAGCAGATGAAAGTCTCAACTTTGAAGAACAGATCCTGGAGGCGGCCAAGTCAATTGCAGCAGCAACCAGTGCCCTCGTGAAAGCTGCATCTGCTGCTCAGAGAGAGCTTGTGGCTCAAGGCAAGGTAAGAAGTAACTCTTTGTCACGTTATTTTACAAATTTTCCTCAATGCATTAGTGCCTGCTTCCAAGTCAATTTGACAATGCCTGTGAACAAAAAAAGTATCAGCATAAGATTGAAATTTAAAAAATGGGAGGCACCTTTTTATTTAAATCCCAAGTAGTTTTTTTTTCAGGAAAGTACATAAAGTATTCTCTGTATAAGACCATGGTAATTTTGTGTCAATATAGTAATGTGTAAAATAGTTTAAACGCTAGCATTAGGACCAACCCACTCCAGATCTGTTTTAGATTCAATAAACTATTTTAGCTATTGTAAAAAGACTAGTTGCTAACTTACTTTCTATTCCTCCCCCTTTGTTTAGAAAGGGTATTAGTTTTCACCAAGTTTACTTTTAAATGTGCTCACCTGAATAAGTTATTTTATTGTAAGATGATTAAATAAAAGCAATTTGATGGCAAATGTTGAAGGAAGTGTTAGGGCTCTTATGGCACAGTGCTAGTGTCCTGCCAAAGCTCTGGCTTCAAGTAGAACCTTCCACAGAGTTATGTCACAACATGTCCAACCAGGCTGATTTTTAAAATCTTCAAAGTGTTTCTTTTCCACCATAGGTTGGAGCTGTACCAGCAAATGCAGTGGATGATGGCCAGTGGTCCCAAGGCCTCATTTCAGCAGTGAGTACAATATAATACTGTCTCCTCCAATTCCAAACAAAAACAACTTGAACATGAATTCTTAGGTGACCTGACTCTGTATAATTTTTGAAAACCGAGGCAATATTGAATTTTGTTGCTGTAAATATTTTTAAAAATTAAAATAAATGTTTGATTTAGGGCAAATTACGCAAATTACAGTTTCTGTTTCAGACTGCAAGCTAAGTAAAATTCTTGTTCTTGCAGGCTCGAAGGGTTGCTGCTGCTACAAGTGGTTTGTGTGAAGCGGCCAATGCAGCAGTTCAGGGTCACGCCAGTGAGGAGAAGCTGATCTCTTCAGCCAAACAGGTGGCAGCATCCACAGCTCAGCTATTAGTGGCCTGCAAAGTGAAAGCTGATCAGGATTCAGAAGCCATGAGGAGACTCCAGGTATATAATGTGTACTGAATTGTATTTATGCAAGACGAAGTTTTAAAAAAAAACCATGCCTGCTAATGCAATTGGGGCACATAAATGTATGCACATTTTCTTCTCCCTCCTTCTCTCTCCTCATGAAGGATGAGCAGAGACTCATTCTATATAGAGAATAATCGAGGAAGGTATAGGGGAGATGTCAGAGGTAGGTTCTTCACTCAGTGGTGGGCGTGTGGAATGCGCTGCCGGCAGTGGTAGTGGAGTCAGATATTTCAGAGACTTTTACGCGACTCTTGGATAGGCACATGGAGGATAGTAAAATGTAGGGTATGCAGAGTAGTTTGATCTTAGTAGGATAATAGGTCGGCACAACATTGTGGGCCGAAGGGCCTGTACTGTGCTGTACTGTTCTGTGTTCTATTGCATTGCTTATGGAGCAGATATAGTTAATCACTGCGGATCCAATAATGGAGGAACAAAATCAAAAGATTGTTCACTTCTGCAAATGAGTCACAGCATTTGGATATGGCCATAATTACTGTATGAGAGAAATCATTTTGTTGTAACATGATTTTGAATATTAGTTTACTAAATTAGAACCCGCTTTCAAAAATCAGAACAGAGTCTAATTTGTGTTAAGGATATCACTGGGAGCTACAGGGATAACTTTGGAGAAATGCAGTCACTTCTGCCTTGTAGAAAAAAAGACAGTGCAAGAATAGCCAAACACATTTAACAGGCAAGGGATAGAGGGATACGGACCATGTACAGGCAGATTGGATTAGTTTAGAATGACATCATGGTTGACACAGATATGTTGGGCTGAAGGGCCTGTTCCTGTCCTGTCCTATACTGTTCTATGTTGTTCCAAAAAGGAGGACACCAAACTTGAAACTTTTAGATAGAAGTGAGAACTAATGTGTTGCAAAGGAAAAACAGATTGTTCAGGATTTCAACAGAGTATGATGGCACGTGTCATCTGAAATTGTGGAAAAACTTCATCACTTAGTAGCAGAAACTTTTTGGTTCAACTCCATTCAAATAGAATAGAATTAAATAGATATCTTAAATATTTAGAAAATACATCAATTATTGTTCACTTAACCAAATGTTGGTGGCCACACTAACTTGTTTATTTGTCTTTTATAAATGGAACTTTTGACTTGACTTTTCTCTGAATATACTCAAGTAGATTTCCTTTGATAAACTTTTGGCTTTCATTTTAATCAGATTTTTTCAACATTTAAGTAATCCAGATAATTCCATATCATTATTATTTAATTTTGTCTTTTTTCATGCTTTTTTATATTTTCCAATTATTTTGCTCCTGAAATATTTAATCAATCTTTTCAATGAATTAGTCAAGTGAGAAATATTTTCTTTGGTGTTTGGCCTTATGGGTATTTTGCTTTTGAAATGCCCTACTTTTTAACTTTGGAAATGGTAAAGCAATACATAGAACTGTCTGCTCAATTTTAACAGTGTCTTTTCATGACAGAAATGTTGTATTGCACAGTACATTGCATGGAACTGAATCATTCAGACCGGAAAGGTCCAGTTTGATATCTGGTCTATGTTCTGTTATGGACTCTCAACATTAATGGTGGAAGGATGTACTAAATTAACCTCAATGTCCCTGGGCTAGGGACTGGTTAGTTTCTGATCAGTGACTGTTGTTACTGCATTTTTAACCCTTTTTAAAATGGTTTGTTGGCATCATTCTGATTACTGTTTGATAAGTCGTCACTTGAATGAAGGCCATTTGAGAGAATGGTACAACAACAAAGTGTAAGAGCATGTTCTACAATTAGTCAGTCTCAGGAGAGGAAGGCCAAGAACTTCAGGATGTCCCAACATGCAATTGTTTTTCAAATTCCATCATTAGCCAAAATCTCTCAATGCTGTCAAGCACTTGGAAAATTTCAGTTCTTCATGTCAAATCCCAGGTAGCTTTGGAAAGCTACTATTCATTTACTACAATGCTATGAGTTAATTTAGCTACTCATGATAAACCTGTAAGACACAAGAGCAGAAGTAGGCCATTTAGTCCATTGAGTCTGCTCCACCATTCAATCAGATCATGGCTGATCTGATGATCCTCAACTCCACTTTCCTGCCTTTGCTCCTAAAATTAAATCCATAATCACCTGACTGGTTAAAAATCTGTCTATCTCAGCCTTGAATATACTTCACCTTTCAAGTCCTTGCTTGTCTTTAAGGGGCATAGGTGGGAATGTGGATTTGAAGTTAATTGGATCAGGCATAATCACTAATGTCAGAGCAGGCTTGAAGGGCTGAATGGTCTACTGCTTCTAAAGTATGTTCACTTAATGCTTATGTTTTGACAGTTGCTTTTAGAATCTGACTTTACAGGATAATATTTTTATAATTTTACATTACCAATAATTTTATTGCCAGTTTATTTCAGCTAATTACAATTATTGTTCAGGAATAAAGCTTTATTGTGGAACTCCATTAGGCAGAAGCCCTCCCAATGTTGCCCCAACATGTAAACAATGTTGTGCTAGCGTTTTCATTTTGACTCTTAGTCTGCACCATTTCTTTTTTTTGTAGACTGCAGGTAATGCTGTGAAGAGAGCATCTGACAACCTGGTGAAGGCTGCACAGAAGGCTGCAGCGTTCAATGAGCAAGAAGAGGAGAATGTTGTGGTCAAGAGTAAGATGGTCGGTGGTATTGCGCAGGTGAGTGAATAAACTAAGGTGGGCAGTAGTATTGCTACTGGACCAGCAAATCAAGGGCCATTCATTCAGATTCTATCATGAAGGTTCAAGAATTTGAATTCTCTTCAATAACTTTACAAATACAAAGTAACAAATAAGCAGTCAGGCTATATTAAAAATCCAACTGGTTCATCACTGTCCTTTAGGAAAAGAAGTCTGTTGTGCTTTTCCAATTGAGCCTAGATATGGTTCCATTGTCACACCAGCATGGTTGACTCTCTCTTAATTGTCCTCAACAACGACCTCGCAGTGAGCATGTTGTCATTGCATTGTCGAGGAGAAATGGACAGTCAATGCATCCTTGCCAGAGAATATCCATCTCCTGAGAATGAGTAATTAAAAATTGCATCTATATGGGAAGTAACTATGATGTGTTACTAGGAATTATATTTGTCTGTTTCTTGAACAGATTATTGCAGCCCAGGAAGAAATGCTGCGAAAAGAGAGAGAACTTGAAGATGCCCGCAAGAAACTAGCACAAATTCGGCAGCAGCAATATAAATTCCTTCCTTCAGAACTTTATGACAAAGAGGAAAATTAACTGCAATCTACTAAAACAGCTAACAGCTAATCTCGGCCAGGCATCTACAGCTAAAGATCTGATCCAGATAAATGAACGTGTGGCCAGATTCTTTTTAAAATGTTCATGCAATAAGTTCCTTTGTAATTTCGCAATCTGTATGCTAACAGTGCAATAGGCGATTCACTTGCTATGTTTTTTCTGTATCCTCAAAATGATCGTTCTGCACGTGTTCAATCATGTTTAACATGTTATATCTGCTCTTGAGCACAGACTAGAACGATTAGTATATACATGTGCATCAGCACTGGTATGAAAAATGCAATGTTTGGTTGCAGTATTGATGCAAATTTGCTGTAAAGCCTATGTATGATATCTTTTTTAAGTATATGGAGTCAGAAGGTATATTTGATTATTCCAAAGATGTTGCAGAAGAGTCGTGTGTCCCAATAGTGAATGGTTTAAAGCTAATGCAAACGGGGAGTTAATAAGTGGGACAACCGGAACAGTAAGTCACATTCATGAATTCTAAACTCCACAGTGACTAGGTGATACATATCGTTAAAATTCCATAATGGAAAAATACTCCCTATAATAGTAATATTGCCTTAAATTGGGTCGGAAATACTGTGTTTTGGGGGAAGTTAATGTTACTTTCTATTTTTTAACCAGATGTACATGAATAAGACAGTATTTCGGCAGGGTGCCTTACAATCAGACAGTACTTGTGTTAGTACTTGTTTAGGATTGCTTTGTTTCCAGTAAAGATTCGAATATCTTTCCATTAAAAGAGTTCGAAGTTCAAACTTTTGTGCTCCAAAAATTTATTCTGTTTTGAAGATATTTGTAGGTGTTCCCTATAACTGATTTAATACCAGACAATAACATTTAACAACTTAAAACCTTGAACTGCAAGCTCAATGGGGCATATTTAGCAGTTTGACAAAAAAAGTGAAGATGTTCCTTCAATCTTTTAATTGCTTTCATTCATCTCGCTTTGTGTTCTTGGTCTCCTCTTGCATAAGCCTTCACATTCTCTTGTTTTGGCACATTACATTCAAGTGCTTGTATTTGTGTTGTTTTAAGTAAGTGAACTTCTTAATTGCAATGACATAAGTAACTGTATGCACTTAATGGTGTGCATCTTTCCAGTTAGAGACTGTGTTTTTGTAATTAAGATTACATTCTGCATTAATGGGAATTTTAGGCAGTTGTGCATTATGCTTCCACGGTTCCTGCAAGCACATTTTAGGCCTCTCTAGGATTCTTCAAATACCAAGTCTATTTCTATTTTGCAGAATTTGCCTTGTTCACATTATTCCTGCAAATATAACTTGTTACTTATGCTCCATTGCCTTTAAATACACTTTATTTTGATACAACATGCTTCTAATAACAGTTGATGAATACCAACTTTCCAGTACTTATGATGGCTACTTATGTTTTTATTTTACAATTTATTTGGTTAATAAAGTCAAGTTTCCACTATGGCTTGGATTTTGTGCATTTTTCAACTTTATTTTACTTCTTTGAGAGTGACTAAGAAAGTCCACTACATACTTGACACTAGGGCCTGTTTATGCAGACAATCCAGGTTCCTACTGTTGTTTTAAAATTTATCACCTTTCATTGAGCTATGCTTTTAATGTGATCTATTTGAAATGTGCTCTCCTAGATGAGAATTGGAACATACAAATGCTAATAGATCTGTGTACATTAACCTTTTATTTTCAATGTCAAGTAAAAATCAACCCCTCATCAATGTACATTTCCTATAATTCTGTCTTGTCTATCCATCTTATTACCTTGTCCTGTACATTGTCTTTGTATCAAACGTCATGTCAATGCACTCATCAAGCAATGAATGCCCATATAGGGCCTCGTCCTGCTGCCTCTGGTATCCACCCAGTTTGGTGGCCCCCCATGGAAGATAGGCAAACATCAGGCTTCTCCATAACCACATGGGTAATATTATATATTTACATTAGCATAGAAAATAAGACCAGGAGTAGGCCATTCAGTCCTTTGAGCATTGTCCACCATTCAGTATGATTATCGCTAATCATCCAACTCAGTATCCTGTTTCTGCTTTCTCCCCGTACCTTTTGATCCCTTTATCCCTAAGAACTTTATCTAACACCTTTTTGAAAACATTCAATGTTTTGGCCTCAACCACTTCCTGTGGCAGAGAATTCCACAGGGTTCACCACTCTTTGGGTGAAGAAATTCCTCCTCCTGTCAGTCCACAATGACCTACACTGCATCCTCAAACTGTGCCCATGGTTCAGGACTGCCCAGTGATTAGGAACATGCTTCCTGTGTTTACCTTGCCTAATCCTATTAAAATTTTATAGCTTTCTAAATGATTGCCACTACCACCCCATCCCTCTGCCGCACCGCCCCCCCCCGCCCCAACCTTCACTCTTCTAAACTCCAATAAGTGTAGTCCAAAACGATCTAGTCTCCCTTTGTATGTCAAACGTGCCATCCCAGCAGTTAGTCTGGTAAACATCGGTTGCTTTGCCTGCGAAGCCAGAACATCCATTCTCCAATAAGGAGATTGATATACCTTGGCTTTCTTGTCATTTACTCTATCTGCTCTTCCTCCATCCTGAAATATCATCTTTCTGATTTTCTAAATATCACCTACACATTTCACCCACTGCATATTTTCTTTAGTGACAACTTGTCATCTGTAAATTTTGAAGTTGTGGACTGTACTGTTGGCCTGGTTAACCCAATTAACATTTGAGGTTGGTTGGCTCGCTGAGCTGATTTATTGTTCCACAGACGTTTCGTTACCGTGCTGGTAACATCCTCCGTGCAGCCTCTGATGAAGCGTTGGTGTGTTTTCCCGCCTGGTTTTTAAACTCTGGGGTCCGTTGCGATGGATTGCCTCACTTCCAGGTTTCGTCCGTAGTGGAATGTATATGGGGTTGAGTTCAATGTGTTTATTAATAGCATGCTTCGTGGAGTGCCATGCTTCCAGGAATTCTAGTGCTTGTCTCTGCCTAGCCTGTCCCAGGATCTTGGTGTTGTCCCAGTCGAAGTAGTGGTTCTCCTTGTCCATGTGGATTGAGATAAAGTGAGTATTGGTCGTGTCATTTTGTAGCCAGTTGGTGTTCATGTACTCTTATTGTTAGTTTCCTTCCTGTTTGTCCGATGTAGTGTTTCTCGCAGTCTCTGCAGGGGATTTTGTAGATGACACTGGTCCTGTCCATGGCGGGGAGTGGGTTTTAGTTCGGGTGAGCACTTGTCGTAGGGTTGATGTGGGTTTGTGTGCCACTCTGATGCCCAGCAGTCGTACAAGTCTTGTGGTGAGTTCTGACGTGTTCCTGATGTAGGGTAGTGTGATGATTGTGTCGGGGCGTGTAGAATCTTTCTGATGCTGTTCCGGTAGGCATCTCCTGACCCAGTTCTTTTCCCTGCAGAGACTGTGAGAAACACTACATCGGACAAACAGGAAGGAAATTAACAACGAGTACATGAACACCAACTGGCTACAAAATGACACGACCAATACTCACTTTATGTCAATCCACATGGATTTGGAGAACCACGACTTTGACTGGGACAACACCAAGCAAAGAATTGGGTCAGGAGATGCCTACAGGAACAGCATCAGAAAGATTCTACACGCCCCGACACACTCATCGCACTACCCTACATCAGAAACACGTCAGAACTCACCACAAGACTTTTACGACTGCTGGGCATCAGAGTGGCACACAAGCCCACATCAACCCTATGACAAGTGCTCACCCGAACTAAAGACCCACTCCCTGCCTTGGACAGGACCAATGTCATCTACAAGATCCCCTGCAGAGACTGAGAAACACTACAAACAGGAAGGAAACTAACAACAAGAGTACATGAACACCAACTGGCTACAAAAAGACACGACCAATACTCACTCATCTCAATCCACATGGACAAGGAGAACCACGACTTCGACTGGGACAACACCAAGATCCTGGGACAGGCTAGGCAGAGACAAGCACGAGAATTCCTGGAAGCATGGCACTCCACAAAGCATGCTATTAATAAACACATTGAACTCGACCCCATATACATTCCACTACGGAGGAAACCCGGAAGTGAGGCAATCCATCGCAACGGACCCCAGAGTTTAAAAACCAGGCGGGAAAACACACCGACGCTTCATCAGAGGCTGCACTGAGGATTATACCAAGCACGGTAACGAAACGTCAGCGGAACAACAAACCAGCTTGGCGAGTCAACCAACCTCCAACACCCACAACCCAAGCTACAGATCTACTCCAAAACCTTAGACCAATTAACATTTGTACCAGGCAGCAGCCGTCTCTAGTAAGGGAGCCTGATCACCACCTCTTGATGTTCAATGATATTATAATCTCCGTCCTGAGGAATTACCATTGACCAGAAGGACACTGAATTGTGGCTACTAGCATAATTCCAACCCTGGGTATTCTGTAATTGAATGGTTTATCCATGGATTTCTTTTGCCACAAAACACAAGTCGTGGGAGTGATGGAATTTGCTTCCCTGGGAGGGTGCAACTCCAAGAACACCAGAACATTGACAGGATCCAAATAATCTCCACTTTGCATCTTGACAGCAGTGTTACCAGGCAGTTAGATAGTGATCTCATTGAACCATATAGCATTCTTAAAGGGGTTGGCAGGATACATGCAGAGAGATAGTAAGAACTGCCGATGCTGGAGTCTGAGATAACACAGTGTGGAGCTGGAGGAACACAGCAGGCCTGGTAGCATCAGGTCCTGACCCGAAACGTCAGCTTTCCTGCTCCTCTGATGCTGCCTGGCCTTCTGTGTTCCTCTAGCTCCACACTCTGTTATTACATGCAAAGAGGATGTTTCCCTTGATGGGATAGTCTTAGTCTGAAATTGGCACCACTTTATTCCAAGATGAGGAGGAATCTCTACTGAGGGTTGTGTGACTTTGGAACTCATTGCCACAGAGAGTTGTGGGGCAAAGTACTTGCATATATTTAAGGCTGAGATGAGATAGTCTGATACATGATCAGCAGGGGAAAGAAGGGTTATGGGTAAATTACAGGGAAGTGGATATAAGGAATGTCAAATCAGCCGTGATCCTATTGAATGACAAAGCAGGCTCAAGGGCTGAGCAGCCTACTCCTGTTCCTATGCTCAAGAAAACTAACTGCAATTTGTGTTTTCCCCTAACTTTCCAAACTCAAACCACTTGCTACTCTTATAGCTCTCCTATTGTTGTCTAACCTATTATGTTTGAGCAGCTCACTGCCAACTTTATCCATAATAAAATTTCTCATATATAGAATCCCTGCAGTGCAGATAGAAGCCATTGGGCCCAAGTCTGCACCGACCCTCCAAAGAGCACCCACCCAGACCCTTCTCCCTACCCTATCCTTGAACTGTGGGAAGAAACTAGAGCACTCGGAAATCCATGCAGACGCGGCAGAATGTGCAAACTCCATACAGAGTTGTCCAAGGCTGGAATTGAACCCAGCATTAAGACAGCAGTGCCAACCACTGTGCCACCATGCCCCACCACATTTATTCTTATGTTAGACTGAGTTGTGTTTAACTGCCTTCCTTCTAACCAAGGCAACATGTACACAAAACAAGCAGAAAGTGTGGGAGAAACGCAGCAGGTCTGGCAGACAGAGAAACAGTTACTGGACTTGAAACATTAAGACTACTTTAGAATTGAAAGATGTTGGACAATCGGTATTTTTATACTTTGGCAGAGGTCCCATGCAAAAGGCAAAGGAATTGTTAAGGGTGAGAGAAAGAGGTGTAAAATAAACAAGACACAAACAAGAGAGTCCTAGAGTTAGAGCTGTACAGCATGGAAACAGACCCTTCGGTCCAACTCATCCATGCTGACCAGATATCCTAAATTAATCTAGTCCCATTTGCCAGCAGTTGGTCCTAATCCCTCTAAGCCCTTCCTATTCATATACCTATCCGGTTTCCTTTTAAATGTAATTGTACCAGCCTCCTCCACTTCCTCTAGCAGCTCATTCTGTCCATGCACCACCCTCTGTGTGAAAATGTTGCTCCTCAGGTCCCTTTTAAATCTTTCCCCTCTCACTTTAATTCTATGCCCTCTTGTTTTGAACTCCCCTACCCTGGGGAAAAGACCTTGGCTGTTCACCCAATCTACGCCCCTCATGACTTTATAAATCTCTATAAGGTGACCCCTCAGCCTCCAATGCTCCAGGGAAAATAACTCTAGCTTATTCAGCCTCTTGCTGTAGCTCAAACCCTCCAACCCTGGCAACATCCTTGTAAATCTTTTCTGAACCCTCTCAAGTTTCACAACATCCTTCCTACAGCAGGGAGACCAAAACTGAATGCAGTATTCCAATAGTGGCCTAACCAATATCCTGTACAACCACATGACCTCCCAACTCCTATACTCAATGCACTGACCAATAAAAGCAAGCATACCAAACACCATCTTCACTATCCTGTCTACCTGCCACTCTACTTTCAAGT